TCTCCGATTGCCTTTCGTATGGCTGCAGCTTGAGGACACTTGTGCTAATTGAATTTATGCCACGGCGCCGAGTTGACAACTTCCTGCGACGGGCCGAGCAGACAACGGACAACAGCCAACACCCAACCGCGGACCACCAGCAACAGTTGGCACCGTGTTAATTCAGCAGCGACAACAAATTATGTGCCACACGCAGCGGCTGCCCCGCCGCTTCCGGGCCGCTCATTAAGCATATGTCTATGTGGCAGCAACAAGGTGTAAATACGTTTGCTGCTTTAATATTTTTTATGCCCGCCGAATGAGCATTTAAAAAGGAGGCAGCAAAAGCCGCTGCCGCAGCAACTCCTTCGGCGAGTCCTTTTCTTAGCACCGTCTGCTGCCGCCTAGCGCATTGCCGCCTGCCAGGACAATTGAAATGCCTGTTGTCTGGCTGGGCGTGTGCGTTGGGGGCGAAGCTGCCAGTGGTAAGTAATAGCTGTCATTTGCCGTTAGACTGCGGTCGCCCGTCTCCTGCCTCCCGCTTCCTGGCGCTCTTCATAAACCATCTTCCTGCCACAAACGCGCACTCGCACATGTGTCAGCGCATCTACAAATTCCTTGAAATTCATGTAATTACAAATATAACTTGGTTTGGCTGGGGAGCAGGCGTCAGTTGTTTGCCCGCCAGGTGCGAGAAGCTTAGTAGCCAGGTAACGCAGCTGTAAACACAGTTTTCATTCAAACTACGCAGGCGACGAGATGCCAAATTTATTTGCAAACTTTCTTTTTTTCCTGAGAAACTAAAAGCTGGACTATTCAATTATTTGAAAGAACTTCAGGTGAAAAATACTTTCATCAACTACTATTGTATTCCGTTATAATGTGAAACAATGCCGATTTATTTCTATATTATTTCATGCGAATGTAAACTTTTTGAACAACTGCAGAAGTCTGTGTAGGTTTCAAGCTTGTATAAAAAATAATATATTATGGAAAGTGTAATCATTACTGGCATTCATAAGAATTCATGCCAGTCTTTATAGTGATCGACTTGAGGTCCATATCAAGGCTCTCCAATTCCATATCCATTAGAGGGTTAAGAAGACGATAGCTTGAAAACCCTTTCTTCCCTAATCTTAAGCTGATTTGTAAATAAGACTCAAGAGCAAATAGAACCTCTGCTGCTTTCTAATAATTAAATAGATATACATATATTAAGCAGAATTTATATGCAACTACTATCGAGTCTCGATAATTTGTACAACGCTAAATCAAGAACCGCGAGAAATTGAAAAAAACTCCTTAAAAAAAAATTCATAATTGTAAATCGAAACAAAAAAAAATAAAATAAAATAAACTAATCCCATTGCCATTTGGCTCTATCGGCACTCGACTGTGTTTCTCTGTCTTCCGCTTTAGGTGAGCGTCGCCGCATCAAATCCATATGTAAATACAACTAGTCGCTGCATTTGGAAACCAGCTCAAGAGTCTTGCTTAATGACCATGGTGAAGCGCTTTGGCTGCCCATAAATATTCCAGTGCACCCAAAAATTGATGAAGTGCTGCCTGCTCATTTGTGAGCCTCGAAATGCTGCAGGATTTTTGCCAATTAGGTCGCGGCACTAAAACGCATTGGGCCAAATGCCACAGCTCCATAATTCAGCTTGGCCCCAGATGAAATGGCGGCAGGAGGCGCTGGTCTGGTACGATTCGATCTCCCTTCCTCGCTCTGTCTCACTCTCCCCCTCTCTAACCCTCTCTCTCTCTCTCTCTCTCTCTCTAACACAATCGCAGCTAATAATAAATTAATTGTGCAATTGCATTTCGGGGTTATTGGGCAATTGATTACTTTTGGCGCCGCGTTGCGGGCTTGCACTTATAATTTATGGATGATGGGGCTACTAAGCCCGTGGCTGGGCTACCCCGGCTGGCGGCTGGCTGCGCCTGGTGAATCCAATCAGTGTGCGCTGCTTTAACTTGCCGCGTTACCAATTTTCGTCATATCTTTGCAGGCGGGGGGCGTGGGTCGCGCCAGCTAACCCACTAATTAAAACTAAGTGGCGGGCGTTGAAAAACGCGTTCCAACCTCTATTAACCCAGCGACGCCCAATTACACTTTCGCTTAATTTTTTAGCTACTCCTGCCGGTCGGCGTCGCTGCCAGCCCTTGGCGCCCATACGAAATTTGACATTTTGACAGCGCGGCAAGTTTACAAGCACCAGCAACATCCAAGAGCAACAGCCAACAGCCAGCAGCCAGCAACCAACAACAACAACAACAGCCGAACAGCCCACAACAGCAACGAGCAACAACACGCATTACGCATACGCCGCATTGGGGCGCCCGGATTCTAATTTGTTTACGGGCATTAGGCCAAAATTTTAACTACATTCCCCTACCCAAAATACACTCAAACTGAGGTGAGATGTGAATGTGCTAGACTGTGTCTGTGTGTGTGAGTGTGTGGGTGTGTGGGTGTGTGAGTCTTAGGTGCGAGCCGCTTTTCAAATAGATGCAAACCCCCGTTAGTGCCGTTGGCAGTGCGTCGCTTTAAGGGTCTATTAGGCACACCTTCGGCCTGTTTAAAACTGTTTCAGCCGATGCTGGTAATTTACATGTGCTCTGCCAGTTTGGGGGCCTGTCAGCACTACGGCAGATATACAATTAGGAAGGGATTTTAGCCAAAATTGAATCACTTTTATATAGATGTCAGATATGTGAAATAGTATATCGAATTACCTTAGATAAATTAGAAATATTTAAATTAAATTCAAAATATGGAAATATAGGCAATAATTGAGAAGCGTAAAGCCTAGAGAGTCCGCCTAACTGACTAAGCTTTTATAGAACTTCTAATAAGGGACATTAAAACTCAAACTATCGAAGGTTTCTACAGTCTCATGCTCTTACCAATAAACAACTATTATAAAACGAATTTATGTTTATTAATATCAGACTCAACTTGACCTTTATAACCTGCTTCAAGATTGTCGAGGTCCACGCGTAATTCTCTTATTCTTGTTGCTGGCAATGCTGGAAATGAAAATATTATTTTTGCTGTCATGTGCTTAGCTTTTACAACTAGTATTTAAGACTCTTACACACACACACACGCACGGAAGAGCCAAGTATGCACGCTGTCACCTATTGCGTTTGTATTCTGACAAATGGCGCACGTTTTACATATGTATACCTGCCCCGTGCCACTGGCGCCCCCGTAACTTACACCGATCCGCGCACCCCACCACACCGCACCGCACCCACTAGGCTGTGGGCCGTTGTGTAAATGTAACATAAAATGCCGCAAACGTGTGCGTGGCAAATTTGTAAAGTGCAAAATTTATGCGTAATGTGAGGGCGTCACCCAAGCACCCTAAACAGCCGCCTCTTTCAGTGGCCACGCCCACTGTGGAAAGTTGCGGCTGTGGCTTACAAGTTTGAAGAGGCTTGGCAGCGGGGACGACTCCGACGCCGACGTCAACGCCAACGCCGACGCGGCAGCAAAGTGCCAAAAAGTTGCAGTCGACGGCAGCCCAAAAATATAA